GAGTCTTGAACTTTTGACCAACCAAATTTTAACAGAGTAATAATTCGACAGTATGGCAGGGGCGGCGGAACCGGGGGGGGGGGCCTCCCCCAATTTTCCCAGGCCAACAAAAGTGCCCCTCTCGCAGTCATTAATGTGGCCCCTGACATGAAAACAAAACGGTCCCTCAAACGCACACATGAAAGCATTATGATCGCGCTTAAAAACTGTCTCCTCTCTTGTAATGCAAAAGCGCCCCTCAAGATATACACATTTACCCCTCGCGCATTAACAAGATTGTGAACCTTCTTGAGAAGGAAAATTATCCCTCGAAAGCACAAACACCCCTTTCGCAATAATAAAAGTGTGCCCCTCTCGAGATAAGAAAATGACCATCAAAAACAATAGTGCTCTACTCGCCGATAACTAATCGAGATGGAAAACTGCCCATCGAAAGCACAACTACTAGTGCCCCGCTCGCAACATTAAAACGGTGCCCCTCTCATCACAAGATGCAAAACTGGCCTCAACAAAAAAAAAGTGCTCCTCACACGAATAAAATGGTCACTGAATGAACTCTCCATCAAAAGCAACATTGCCCCTCTCGCGATAAAAAAAAGGGTCCTCTGCATAGGCCTAACTACTCAAACTCAAGCGAAGCGAATCATTTTGATCCGTGTCAACGTTTGTACATGTACATGTGGGTCTTTCTATAAAGTAGGGGTCCAATGAGAAATGTTGTCCTTTTTGCTTAATTTAACTAAATAGGAAATCGATTAAAGTTTATGGAACTTTATATGTAACAAACTCCAATCAGTTGCATAGATAAAACCTACAAATTTGGTATCTTGATCCCATTCCTGTTTTGGTTAAAAATCAGCCGGGAATTCTCATAGTTTTGGCTAAAAAATACAGTCTCAAACTATTAACATTTGTGCAATTTCAACATGAGATACACTTTGTAAAGAAAAACATGTGTGAAGATGTGATATGGTGTTCCCAAATATTATGGTTTCACATTAATGTCCCCGACGTGTCCCTGTTACGCGTACGTGTGAATTCAATTCTGCTGTGTAAGTATTAATATACAACGATAGAATACAATGATTCACATCACAGTTTTAATTTCATGTGCTGGAGATATGTTTATCTCAATGATATTAACATTATGAACTTTATACAATATATACAAAATAATGTAATCATTTACAATTATTAATACATGAATTGCTATTGTAGCAATATCAACAGGCGGCTTGCTAATTAAGCTACCATTCATAACCGTTTACTAAATTAAAATCCCCAATACAATACGAGGGAGATATTGCACAGTATGTGTGTCAACATCGGGGAAAAAAATAATAGTGTCAGCAACAGAACAAAGTAGGCATTTCTTCCACACTTATTCCAGATTCATAAATACACAAAGTCCAAAGTGAATGTTTGTTATCAGATTTCAAACATAGACTATAGTAGTGCGGCAGATAAGTGATGGGATTATGCCTTTGATACATGCATGGCATTTGGCACACATTCAGACTCATGTCATGACAAAGGTATTTGGCTATAGAGCCATCACAGATTTGTCATTTGAAAAAAAATATAGGCAGGATAACAAGCAATGGCAGCCATTTTGAAAATTTTGAAAATTGCTTGTTTTTCTACCTATATTTGTTTCAAAGGACAAATCTGCGATGGCTCTACAGCCAAATTCCATGCTTGTATCATCAAAGGCACAATTCCCCAAAATATTTCCCCTATCTGCCCCGCTATAGTGGTATAGCAATGTCCCAAATAAACTGACCAAATTATTATGCGAAAGGCGAACGCATTACTAAAGGTCCATAGCAATAACGAATTTCGTTTAAACATCCTATCAAAACATAAGGATATCATGGACTCGACATACGACAGTAAATTCTCAAATGACTTAACAAAATGACTGTTGCCCTATGTAGATAACCGTCATACCGAGTTTGAGCCAACAGGACCCGGTGGGAGGGGAGGGTCGTTTTTACAATGAAGTAAAGTGAATTTTATGTTTAATTAACAGTCGATTATGCATGGAAATATACATATTTGAGTAAAACTCGAATGTCAATCACTAGGAAAAAAATGGACCTGCGGCCAATTTGAGGGTTGGGTCGGTTTCCCCCCCCCCCCCCCACCCCACCTATCCCGGCGCCTCCGGGCGTCCCCCCAAAAAACATTTAGCATTTGTTGCTCATCTTGCCAAGCGTTGGTAACAAAAAAAAATATGCTTTTATAACTGCTCAATTTGTTGTTTTTACATATTGCAAAGGGTGGGAATTCCATGTTTTGAATTCCAATATGGAAAAAGGATGATTTTACTTATTCTTGAGCAACGTGACAAAGACTCAAACAACTTAAACGTGTGTCCGTGTCATAAAGAAAACATTTCAGCAGTTTGCGCAGAATTGGCCAGAAGACAAATGGTTGTAAGGACTTCCACTGACCGCATATGACCCTAAGTAGTTGATTGCCTTGAAAATGAGAGGTATTTAGCGGCGGAATTACCCGTAAGGGATGTGAAATATGGCCAAGCCAAACACACCGAGCCGGTCAAATTATATCCTAGAATTCTTGCAGATCACGTAGTTTGGAGATCGTTTTACTAAGACAACGGAAGAGTAGGCTTATTGCCGAGAATTCCGATCGCGCTGACTTGAACGAGGTGGAAGGGCCATGTGAAAGACAAATCACCCAAGTGGTACAAGAATTACAAGCTATCTCCACAGATTTGTGGGGCTTCACTGTCACCTTGAAGGTGCATCAGTGTCAATTTTTAAATTATGCCTTTAGTTTATAAAATTAATATATCTCTCCTCTATTTTTTTGTACGACCATAGGTCACTCACCGACAGTCACCACAATGTCAGGATTTACAGAGCCGGTCCATTTTATGAAGCATTAGCGATTGCGATGAGAATATTAAACGGGACAGATGAAATGATTTGTGAAATGTGTATAGGTTCACATATTTTCTCTCATTAACTTTCTCTCAAAGAATGTGAATGAAATAATGAAACATCTTTATCATTTCTATCACTGGAACAGTCACTCCATCAGAGTGTCACAATATTTCGTTATTCAGAGCCTTAAAGACTGTTTGAAAAAAAATATCCTTTGCCTTAGTTATACCAAAAGAAAACTAGGACTGAAATCAGTGTGGAACATACAGGCTTATAATAATTGTTTTCATTGTCTTAAATTTATATCTAAGATTATGTGAAATTTTTTGAAATCTGTTCCTTTCCCCGATAACAGGGATATAAATGTACATTTCTTGTAGTTTTCCCTCCCCCCCCCCCCCCACACACACACACACACACTCCTACACAGATTTGTGAAAAATTCAGGAAATAATTCTGTATTGACTTTGATGATACAAGCATGGAATTTGGCACACAGTCAGAGTATGTCATAAGAAAGATATTTGGCTATAGGGCCATCGCAGATTTGTCCTTTGAAAAATATAGGTAGAATAACAAGCAATGGCAGCCATTTTGAAAAATTGCTTGTTATTCTGCTTATGTAGATGTTTTTCAAGGGACAAATCTGCGATGGCCCTATAGCAAAATATCTTTCTCATGACACACTCTGACTGTGTGCCAAATTCCATGCTTGTATCATCAAAAGCACAATTTCCCCAAAAATTTCCCCTATCTGCCCCCTAGACTTGCCACACATCCCGGACCTTCAGTGGAAAGAAAGCTGTGAGTCATGGTTGCGTTTGTCACGCCCAATATTAGCCAACCTTAGGAATTGATTTCTAAGACAAAGATTTCTGCTTCCCCTTCCCTCAAGGAAAACTGAGGAAAACGGATGAAGAGTGAGCCACAAATAAGCTAAGTGGACAATTCATTCCTTCATCCGTCTTGATCCAAGCGAATTCCGGCAGCTGGATTGAACAGGAAAGTCACATTACTATTATTTCCTTATGAAGATCCGGAGCGGCTCCATACTGAAAAAAAAACCTCTGTCTTTTTTCATCTCTGCAAATGTTGTCATGGAGAAAGACAACAAACAGGGGAGAATTGAAGATATTGATATAACACAGAGAGAGATAGGACAATGGAGGTGGTACACTGTCCTTCAGAGGTGAAACTTAAAGTGATAAAACAGGTGATGAATAAATAAATAACTGTCATAGTGGAATCACTTTTTTTTACACCAAGGACGCTTTGAGATGGTTATTTAGTCAGTCTAAATATTTAATATGTTCCACTACGGAAAAACTCCACCTTGGGACAAAAAAAAGATGAGTTTAAATCTTAAATCGAGACCTTCCAAGACACAGATCCCAATCTTCAAAAAAAGAATTTGTGAAAGCTCGGACCTGTTTTTCTTTAAATTGCTTTAAGAGATTTTTAAGAAGAGATGATCCTATGGAAATTCCAAATTTTCTAATTAAACAATGAAAAAGCAGTTTCACTGCTGATTTCACAAGACTATAATAGGGAGATGGAAAACTTTTGAACATTTACTATCTACAATTTGATAATAAATGTTATAAATATAAAAACAAGATACACTTATCTTTTTTTAAAACTCTACCCAAAAGAGATCATAACACTTTGGCACAATTATATGACATCAGGCAATTGAGACTGGCAAGTTGGCAACATATTACAAAAAGTTTATGTTTCTCTCCATGGACAATAACAATTTGTGTAAAGAAGGCTGTATTTTCTTTGAATTGTTTTTCACACAGAAAAAGGCATTTAAGATGCTACTGAAAAAGTGCATGATATATTTTTTTTAGAGTCTATTCATCTCAAAATGATGGGGAAAAAATGATAAATTACAGCCAAAAGTCTTAAGTGAATTGTCCGCTGCTTCAGAACCATAACATCCATGTCAATTGTTTTACTTCAAAGCACAGCTTGAAATAAGAATTTAAGATATGATATTAAGATTCACAGCATTGGTTCTTCCTTTTCACCAATGTATCCCAATATTCCTTTGTACGTACTAATTTTTATTGGCACTGCTACATGTCAGACATTCCCAGACACTTCCTCTGCAACAGTCTCAACAACTGGTTTGCTGATATTGTGCTGAATCAGTTTTGGTGCTGCTCTGAACGACGTTTTTGAGTCCAGCTGGCCAGTCTCCGCATCAACCGCTGGCGGAACAATGTCAGCATTATTGTATAAGACGTGCAAGTGTTGAAGTCCTCCTACCATGCTGTTTGTCCTGCTCAGTGCATCGGAGACCCTGGAGTTTCGTCGACCCTCCGGGCCACGAGCTGACGACCGCTGACTCTTCTTTCCGCAGCGGAAGAGCCTTCGGAAAGCAGACTTAAAGTCCTGGTTGCGATGGGCATAGATCCACGGATTCAAGGCGCTGTTTGCGAAGATGAGAAAAACAGAGTAGTGGTGCAAAGGTATGGTCCTACTGCAGATGTCACAGAAGCGCTCTATCAGTAACATTAGAGTGAACGTGACCCACGTGAGGAAAAAGAACCCAAGAATGATCAGTAATGTCCTGGTGTATTTGGTCCCCTTGAACATGTGCAAGTTCTTGCTGAAAGTGTTGGGGAAGAGAGAGAGCTGGATGGCTGAGATGGCACGGGAATGGTGTCTAGCGACCAGCATGACCCGGCAATAGCATCCGATCATGACGAGGAATGCCGGCACAAATATCACCAACACTTGAAACAGCAGGAGGTACTTGGATAGGAGATAAAAACTACACGCTGGCTGGTCGTCCGTTTGGCTCTCCACCAGAAACTGCCAACACAGTGGCATGAAAGCAATGATGAAAACGAACATCCAGATTACAAGGGAGAAACACAGGACACGCCTCATCGTTACGTGCTGGTAGTACTTCAGTGGCTTCACCAGAGCGGCGTACCGGTCATAAGCAACGATCCCGAGACTCAGTAAGGAGACGCCGCATCCAAGAGTCACCAGGCAGTAGGGCAGTATGCAGAGGTAGACATTGGTCACCAGGTAACCCAGCAGCTCGACGACAAACACCAGGGGAGCAAAAACCGCCACCGAGACATCAGCCACAGCCAAGTTGACCAGTATGTAGTTGGACGGGATCTGCAGACGTTTGTACTTCACAACCGCTATGATGACCAGCACATTTCCAAATATGGTCAAGATCGTCAGTAGTGACACACTGACCATTGCTAAGATAGTCTGGGGTGTCCACTCTAGTTCAGCACTGCCCGAGTTGTTTTGGAGGGGTGTAGGTGGGCCGGTACCCTCATGTTTGCTGTCTCCCATCTTGAACTCGCGTGATTTGAGACCCATAAATCTGAAAGTTAAAAAAGAAGAGACTTTCTCTTAATCCAGCACTGGTAAGGTATACAGAAGAGAGATTGGCAACTTTGGTATCAGGCCCTAGTCCAAGGTGCAACCATTTGCAGGCACTTTTGGAATGAAACTTTCTGAAAACTTTTCGACAAAGTACAAATTTAAGGATTGGGAATGTGGTGACCAAATGAGACCTGCTCCCTCAAACCTGGACAAAGTTGAATAATTGTTTTGGGTTTGTTTGGCTTTGGCATTTTCAAATTCCTGAGTTTTTAACTTCAAAAGATATATGATCTTTATAGGTTCCGTAATCCTACCACCCCTGGGGAGAAGGATTAAGTAATAAAAGCCTGACAACCCAATTTATGAGATATTAAAATAATTTTTGTAAAAATTTCTAATTTCTATGCACATTTTTGTTCATTAAAACTGACCAAAAAACACATTCCTACTTTTTCTATTCCTAAATTTTGGGAGGTTTTAAATTTACAGTCATTGATTCAGAAAATCCCAAAACCTCAAAATGGTCCGTTCTCCCCCTAAAATGACTTCACATGTCCTGTGTGCAAAAACAACTTCTGCAACTTTGTCCAGGTTTTGGGGAGCAGGTCTCAAAATACAGATAAAAGTATGAAAGTGATAGGGCTGAGGTTTCTTTCAGGCAGAGTCAAGAGAAGGGTTGAATCCAGGGGGGAGGACAGAGTCGCCAACGAAATATTAAACAGTAGGGCTACGTGGGAGGAGCTTATAGTTTTGGTGGGCAGGTAATGCTCAATTATGAGGTGAGGGGGATAGTGCAGGGTGGGGAAAGTAACCCCCAAAAAGGAGCCTGTAACAGTGGGTGGGGAAGTGTAACAGAGATTTCGTTGTATTTTGGGAGGGGATACATGCAGAATGGGCTCTATTATGGGTTGGGTGCAGCAGTCAGACTATATCCCTGCACTTACGACCACTGACAAATCTGCAACCTTATGAATCTGGGTAAAATTTTGTTTCAACTCTAAAAGATCCCCTTGAATTGGGGTTTGGAATTCACATGATTGTGCAAAAATGGTGCAAATGACACAGCGACTGGGGCAAATAACCTCAAAGACTAATCAATCGTTTTGAGGAGTTACATGTTCCATGATCCCTTCGGTTAAATGAATCTGTGATTTCAGAATGGATTGTCAGAGTCTGAATTTCAGGTCACCATCTGCTAGACTGCCGGGCTAGTAAATGAAACTTTTTAAAAAGAACTGAAGTATTTTCTAACTAGACCATTACCAATAATCAACAAAATTTCACATTTGAACAGTTCAACAGAAAAGCACAAGAACATTCTCATTCACTGTTATATTATGGCAAATGGATAAGAATATCTGTTCGTAATGCTGTACATTTGGCTTGCTAAAAATTGGACTCGAAATGGAGCGTTTGCTTGACGTCAATGATAATGATCCATGGTCTGAGAGCAGTGGAAAGTAGTCCATGGGGTATTTTGAGTATTGGTTGTCGTAAATAATACTGTATAAACATTCAGTTCAAAGGCAGCACATTTTAAATGAGAACAATAATCAATGCTTTGTAGGTGACTTAAAAATTTACATTTGATCTTGGCACGATCTTAAAAAAACAATGGCTTAACCAATTTTTGAAGGTAACTAATTTACAAGGATGCAATTTTTGACCATATAGTAAATATTATAACAGTCGGATGCAAATATAACATGCAGAAGTAAATATTGAAAATAAGAATGCCATTTTGGACGGATACCAATTTGCATTCAAATCAATGGTATCAAAGATGCGATGCGGACAAAAAAAACCATCAGAATTGCAAACTGGTTGGGACAAAAACACCTGAAAATCCTGGGATTCCATCGTCATGGCAACACATGCGTGCCTAGCCTGTTCTACTTCAGTGCTGGGACCATGAAACTAGTTCTGTGTAAACTGCAAATTACGCGGCAACAGAATTGCAAGAGAGCAGACACGAACCACTGAACGCAAAACCATTCTAGGGCCCCTCAAAATATGCCCCGTGCTCCAAATGATACATGTCATTGTGGTGCATGACAGAACGATAGCTGTCTCCCCACGATTGTGCAAATGGGAAAGTAGCTTGTCCCATAAAAAAAACAAGTAAATTACTGGCCTAATTGGTACTCCGTGCTCGTTAATTGCATTGAACTTCCCCAAAGAGCTCAATTCCCATCCACAGTCCATTACACAAAAGGCTCCTTCAGTAATGGAAGCAAGTTTTCTATTGTACGATAGAAAAAAATGCACACCGCCGGTGAAGTCCAGCAGGGCTGTTAAAAATTAACACTTTGCACAAAAGTACCGGCGGAACCACTCTCTCATTATGATAACTGATCTCCATGGAGATATTTTTGACAAAAATGTATATCGAGGATTTAAGCAGATGACTCAAGTCTCGAAAAAAGTTCTTTTTTAATTACTACGTAGTTCCTATACATGATGCAGCATATATACAGTATACATTACGCCTGCCCCTCTCTACATATATTGAAGCATGGAGCAAATTACTCAATTTCAGAGTTCTTTAAAAAAAAGGAAGACACTAGTCAAGAGCCAATAAAAAGTTTTCTTTCTGTCAAACTATGACATGCACAGGATCAAAAAGTGGAAATTGAATTAGGCTATGTTGATGAAGGTAATCAAGTTGCAGGCAACGCCTTGTCAAGACGTGGTCTCATAAAGGAAGCAGGCATGGCAGTGTGTTTTATTGCCAGGGAAACCCCTTAGAAGTCGGATACGACTCATTTGAATTGGATGCAGGATCTAAGGAACCCAAATAGAGCATACTTGTATGAAGGAGGTGTGAAATTAGATATAAGGGCTCGAGGCTGTGTTGGGCATTGTAAAATAAATTGCTGTTGAAGGTGGAGCTTTCATCACAACTCTTTTATTTTTTCTTGAGGAAAAGCTGGCATTTTTGCCTGTGGCGCTTCTCTCCTTTTTTTTCCGAGTATTATGAAAGGTTTCTTCAAGTGTTATTCAAAAGCAAAATAGGAACTACATGTTCGTAGTTTAAGACTATTCACAATGGTCACAATATACAATTCAGCCTCTGTACACGCACACTGGTCGAGAAAATGAGGGCGGCAGTATTATTTTGGTTTTGAATTTGGGGAGGGGGTGGGTAGGATTTTCTTCCTTTTTTATATTTTTGTTTAGATTGTTCTTGTTTCAAATCTGGCCACACAAAACAAATGACATTTCCAGATATTTGGAGAGTTGGAATCAAATTATCACAAGCCAACCACAAGTCAACCACAAGTCAACCACAAGTCAACCTCAAGTCAATCACAAGTCAACCACAAGTCAATCACAAGTCAAGTCAATCACAAGTCGACCACAAGTCAATCACAGGTCAATCACAAGTCTTCATGCTATTCCGAAAGACATCACTCTATCAGCGTTCAACCCCCGTTACTTATCATTGTTCATCTCCTATTAATCGTGACTTTAAGTGCAACTGGACTTGTGATTGATTAAATCTGTCGGCGGCTTCGGTTTACACTAAACTATAGTGATCCTGTCCTTTGAAAACTCCGCTCTTTTTTTTTTTACTTTGTACACTTTGTGAATATTGAGCTCACAGGACATTATGTGGGGAGGGGGGGCTGGAGAACCTACAGCTGCTTATACCTGTGTCCGGCCCCCTGCACTCCGGAAACCAGGACAAGCCCCCAGATTAACCACACAATTGGGTTATTTTTGGCAGGCAGGAAATGCGGAGTCCAGTGCCTGGTGGTATCATATCCATATAATGCATGATTAGTGGACGGGAGTCTTGGATATTAATGAGGAAATCGTTGAGGACTGTCACACAGGGCATCTCTACTCCGAATCACAAAAGATTTGCACTTTATATAAGGAGGTGACACTGAAAATGGACATGAGGTTTAAAGATAATTTACTGTGGCTTGGTGTTTCAAAGAAGACATCATGAATGTCATTTAAAATCTTTTATCTATGTTTTCAGGTAATGTCAGTCATATCACAAAACAGATTTGTCATCAGAGCACTGTGCGGCGCTTCTGAAAAAAATAAATAAACACAAGTTCAAATATTTTGGAACATTGGGATGGAATGGCCGATGTCAAATTTACAACCAACAGATGCCCATTTTGATAATTCCATGGCCACCCACTTTTTGTCACTTTATATTTTGTCCACATCATCCTCTCTGCACAAACAAGATTGCCTCATCAGCATATATTTACCATACATACATGTATAAAACCAAGATCTTAAAAAACTAGATATTTGTTGCATTTTAGTGGGGGTATGGGTTAGCTACAGTACCTTTCTGGCCATCAAAAATTGACACGCTTCACAAACAGAAAATTACACTTTAAAATAAGTTACTCCGATGAAAAACTTTACCTGGTGGTGAAATGTCGAGGTAAAAATTCGATTCTAATAATTGCTGACTTTAATAAACTTGACAAATTGAGGTTATTTATGCCAAGACATTAATCCATTTTGTTCGCTGAAATGTTTTGAAATAATTTACAAAGGGATGTCCCCTGGGTAGTTTTAGTGTGGCCCAGTAGTTAGGCTACGTCATAAGAGGTAGGGGTTTGAATCCAGCTGCTGGTCAAATATTGTGTCCTTGGGCAAGGCACTTCACCCCCACTTGCCTCTCTCCACCCAGGAGTATAAATGGCTACCGGCATTAGCTGGGGAGTAACCTGCAATGGACTGGCATGGTGTCCCATCCAGGAGGAACAGAAATATTCTCAGTCATTTCATGCCAAGATCACCAGAGACAAACACCAGCCCGATGGGACATATTTTGGCTTGTGACAGACTATATATTTTTTTTTAAATTATTATTTCCAATGATAAGTACAGTTCCAAATTTTTAATTTTTTTTTATAGAAAATTGACTATAAGTAATGCCAATTTTAAACAAGTTATTATAAATGAAAAATAAAAAAAGGGGATTTTTCATAGTGGAGGAGTGGCAAGATTAATGTTTTTTTG